GACAACTCTCTGACACTAACTACTAAAGAGAACTACTAAAAAAAGAGAGAGACAACTCTCTAATACTAACCACTATAAAGAACCTGGGGAGGACCCCACACCAGTGTTCACCCTTGAACTCAGAAACACTAACAAAGCCTTTCTATATTAACTTCACACCAGTGATACCTTTTCTGTGAAATCTCGATTCTGTTGTGCAAGCTCACAACAGTGAAGGGCACAGACCATAAATGGATTGATTTTATTCATAGTGAGTGGCAGTGGTAGCTGAGGGTGGATAGCCAAGTTGTGCAGTGAATCCTACCAAAGTCCCTTCCACAATAATTTCACCACCCACTCCCAGCTGGACAAACAATCAGTGGGTGCTTTGCTCAGTGTTGGGGAATCCTCAGGAACCTATAAACACTTGAATAGCTTGAAGCAGACTGGGATGTATGCTTTCACTGCCCAGTTACTGGTAGAAAAGCAGCAGTGCATTCATTTGCTCACTAAACCTCGATTGGAAGGGAGATGTGTGTACATGCCAATTCCAAGACTTTTCTGTTCTGGGACTAACACGGACTTAACTAGTTTCAGAACAAATGCAGTGTCTGTTTCTATTCTACAAGACACAAGAGTTTCTCAACAAAATCCAGAACATCCTTACCCCCAGCAACTTTAACCTCAACAACTGACACTTCCTTCATACCATAAGCACAGCTATAGGCAAAAAGATGGCTCCCCAATATGCCAACCTCTTAATGAACCAGCTGGAGGAGGAATTTTTAGAAAACTGCACCACCAAACCTGCACTATACCTGAATTATATGGACCATATTTTCATCTGGATTGGACACCTGCACTCACGTACTGACTTCCATCATTGGTTTAACAACTACCCCCCACCCCCCGATTAAATTATCTCAGGAACACTTCTATCCTAACATCAACTTTCTAGCTACTACAGACATGGTATCCTACAAACCAGTGTATACAAAAACTCTACATACAGCCATAATTATATCCACAAAAGCAGCAATCATCCCTAACACACCAAGAAAACTAATCTAGAACTTAAGCTTTCAGACATCACTACATCTGCTGTAAGGTGAATACTTGTGACACCTACTTCACCAACAAAAACTAACGTTTCCCAGCAAGGACACTCCAGTACAGAAACTGACTGCATCTTTGAATGTCACACAAATACCCTGCAATAATCCACTACAATACACAAAGAACCCCCCACTGACCACATACCCCTGGCTGTCACGTCATCACCCACTGGAAACTGTAAGAAGGATTAGCAAACAACTACAAAAGGATCATACCTGGGGATGTTCTGCATTTTTCTTGATTGGACCTTAATGGGGGCGTTTTTGCCTTCCTCAGAAACATTGGAATTTGGCTGAAGCAAGGACTGGGATTGTGACTAGTGTGAGACACTGATCCTGCTGGGCCTAAAACTCAGAGGCTCTTGTTTAGAGGGCTTTGCTCCTCTGCTCAGGGTCAGACTGATCACCATATCTGGGATGAAGAAGGAAGTTTATCCTGTGATCGGATTAGTACAGACTGGTAGGGGTGGGGAGGGATTTGCCTTTCTCTGTAGCAGAGTATGGTCTTCTTCCTTGAATATCTTGAGTGGGTTTAACAACCTTTGCAGTGGCAGAATATTAAGAGCTCTTACCCCCTGCTCTACCTGTGGCAAGTTTGAGTGTTCTTGGTGTTTGGGGCAATATGCCTAGTGGTTGTGTGACAATGTTGATTGTCTAGATTTAGGAATGGATGGTATGGGATGGGCTGGACAGGGATGATCCTTCCTTGAGCTAGACCTCCAGAGGCCCTTTCCAGACCTATTTTTATACGATTCTATTCCCAACCCTCCCACCCCCAGGCTTCCAAAAAATCTCCAAACCTCATCCAGCTTATCATCAGAAGAGATAAACTGGTATTATTGGAGGGTTGTCTGACAAAAAGACATCAAGTGAAATGCTACCTTGTCAAATATTAATTGCCAAACCTATCAACATATGTCCATTGCAACCACAATTAACACCCACCCAGCAAAGCCATCAGAATCTATGGATCCCATGTATGTCTATCAAAATGTGATATATCTCATCCAATGCACTAAATGCTCTCATAGAAACTATGCGGGTGAAAATAAATAACCATTACATTCCAGAATGAACAATAACAGAAAAAGAATAAAGGACAGAAACATACAATCACCAGTAGAAGAACATTTTTCACAGAACAACCTTTCCCTTTCTGACCTTATAATCTAGGTGCTTGTGACAGGTACACGATCTGGGCCGACCTAAACGTGGCCCGCACACCTGTTCCTGGGGGCAACCACCTGCCTACTCGCCTGCCATGCCTTGTTGTTAATTGATTAATTGGTGTTAATTAGTGGGAGGCTTCCCTTGTACTGCCCCGCTGCCAGGTGGCGCTATCTGCGGCTCCGTTTCCTCCCCTACACTGCAGTCCACACCTCGCCGATGGAATAGTTGTTGACTAAGGTCTATCACTATCTGGCCCCTTCCTGTTCTCTCTGGGCCTTCCTTCCTTAGATGAACTCCCTCCAGTGCTAGGGCTTTCCCCGGCCCTATCTCACTCTGCGCCCTCTTCTCCGGTGCCTTATCTACAATGCTGCCCCCACTCTGGGGCCTTCTCAGTGATGCTACGCCCTCTCCTGGGGCTCTCTGTGCCCACACTGGGGCTCCTTAATAATGCTGCCCCCTATCTGGGACTCAACGTGCCCAACTTGGGCTTCTCAGTAAGACTGCCCCCTCTCTGGGGCTCACCGTGCCCACACTGGGGCTCCTTAATAATGCTGCCCCCTATCTGGGACTCAACGTGCCCAACTTGGGCTTCTCAGTAAGACTGCCCCCTCTCTGGGGCTCACCGTGCCCACACTGGGGCTCCTTAATAATGCTGCCCCCTATCTGGGACTCAATGCCCAACTTGGGCTTCTCAGTAAGACTGCCCCCTCTCTGGGGCTCACCGTGCCCACACTGGGGCTCCTTAATAATGCTGCCCCCTATCTGGGACTCAACGTGCCCAACTTGGGCTTCTCAGTAAGACTGCCCCCTCTCTGGGGCTCACCGTGCCCACACTGGGGCTCCTTAATAATGCTGCCCCCTATCTGGGACTCAACGTGCCCAACTTGGGCTTCTCAGTAAGACTGCCCCCTCTCTGGGGCTCACCGTGCCCACACTGGGGCTCCTTAATAATGCCCCCTCTCTGGGGATTCTCAAGTGCCCTTCTCTAGGGCTGGGGTCTATGCACCCCAAACACTGTGCCCTCACTGGCACTGGGGTCCCCACTCAGCAGTGAGTCCCCTATGAGGCCTCCTCCAACCCCTAATAGCCTCACCCAAACCACCGGTCTTGTAACAACAACAAAACACAAGCCCCTGGGCTGTAACATAAATTAAAGCCGCCCAGCTAAAACATCAGTCTGGCCTACCTGGGAACACCCCTTCCCTCATCAGTGTCAAAACACTGCTCCTGTAGTCAGGCCTCCCTCTTCTCCCCGAGAGAATTCCTTCCTCTTGGGCCACTGGCAGGAAACTGCCTCTAGCCCCAGCCCCTAGGGTTTATAAGGGCCAGGCCCTGCCCCTTCTGGTCAGTTGACCTTCCCTGGTTGCCCCGGCAACCCACAGCTGGGCTTATTTCCTGCTAGGGCTTCCTCCCCAGCAGTTTTCCCCTCTTTGGGAGCAGGGCACCTCAGTGCTCTGTGATGGTGCTCAAGGAAAATTTACAAAACACCTTCAAAAGACAGGCTGGAGAACAAAAATTTATAACTCTACTGGACACCAAAACCCAGGGATTAAACACAGACATTGACTTTTTGACTAATTATAATCTACCTGCTAATCTCTCTGTCCTCCAGGACCCTCTTTCCTCTTGCAGGTTATCCTGATTGCATTTCTCCTGTCTTTCAGTTTATCCTGATAATGTCTCTTTGTTCTGTTTACTGACCTTCTGCATTCCTTTTAGCACACTGGGTTTTTATTTACATACGGGATTTTTCACAGGCTACTGTTCTATTCATTATTTAGCTCCGGCTACATCTGCTTCTTTTTCAGATCTGTTCAAAAGCTTGTCTAAAATCTCTCCCAACCATGCAGCTGGTCCAATAAAAGAGATAACTCTTTCCTCCTGCCAAATATCCTTGCCTTAATGACTCATTACAATATATTTGCTATCCGTGCTAACTTCTATGCTTTCCACAGGTAATAACAATTATTCTCCCACTTCTCTTTTCTTCTACATAATTAGATTACCTATGTTATTTAGACAATTAGAATGTTTTGAAGCCACTTCTGATGCCACTTCTTTATTCCTAGTTTACATCCTTCCTCCATTCCTTTAAGGGTCTGAAGTGCACAGTTCCCCCAACTACAGTGCACAGCACAGAGGAAAACTGGGGAGGTCCTGAGGTGATGCAGGTATGACTGAACCACAGACCAGGTAACCAAGCTGGAAGTTGGGTTATGAGATTTGTTATCAAAATGATGAGTTATTTATGCCTTTTAGTTCTGGCCTAGGTTGTATTATAGAAAAGCTAGAAATGTGTGGTGGAGCTGGGCTACATTCCCAGGTTCAGCACTTGAGGTCCTGAATCACCTCCAGTTCCTCAGGTGCTGCCCACTCAAAGGTGAGAGGTATCACATATTTTGCTTGCTGAACGCAACATCCAGTGTACAGACCCTCCCCAATGTCACACACATACAGCCAACTTCATGTGGCAACATGTAACAACATATCTGCTACACATGTGCATGTTTACCCCATGTTTGCCCAGGACACAAGTATACCGCTATATCCAGGTACATTTCTTTGGCATGTTAAGGCTAAAATATTAAAACCTGGGTGCCTACAATTAGGTCTCTGAACTCGCATTTAAGGTCATTAAATAAGTGGCCTGATTTTCAGAGGCATTAAGTAACCCAGACTACTTGAAGTCCACAAATCCTTCCCTCTTAGCTCGTCTCCCATTCTGCTTCTTGTTACCTTCATCATTTGTGTTTTGCTTCCTCTTTTTCCTGGATTTTGAGTTCTTCTTGTTTTTGAGATCCAAGAGTTTCTTGATGCGCTGCACAACTGAAAATCCAAAGTATCATTAACTGAGTGACAAAGGAGACTGCTACCTGTCCTCCACACCTTCCACTATGGCAGGAAGAGGCACTGAAATCAGACAGCTATTAACACAGAAAAATAAGATCCCCCCAACTCCTGAAACTGTCTAAAGACATCGGCTAAACAGCCTGTTTCAAAGTTACTGAAGGAGGGTGGTGGGAAGGAGGATGCTTTGAGCTAGGAGACATCAATATCCCAGCTAATTCCAGATGGGCCCTGGACTGGAAGGCTTAAAATGTCATTGGAATTCTTTGAACAGCAAAAATAATGGAAAGGGGGCTCCTGAATGTCAAACCACCAAAAGCTCATCTTGCTTACTGGTTCACTACATGCTTCTGTTGCCAAAGTGACAAAAATGGTGAAAAGCAAAACTACTGAGGAGAGGTCGAAAGAGCTGAGGATATTTAGTCAAGAGAAGAGAAGACAGTAAGGATTTGATAATAGTCTTCAAATACTTGAAGGCCAATTATAAAGAGGATGAAGACAGTCTTTTCTTTGTGGCTGTAAGGGACAGCACCATGAGCAATGGCCTCAAACTACACCAGAGGAGATGTAGGTTGGAGATCAAGGTTTGGAGCTCATCAAGATGAGCGAGTGGTCAAAAAATGGCAGACGAATTTCAGTGTCAACAAGTGTAAGGTAACGTACATGGGGAAATATAACTTCAATTATACGTACACAATGCTGGGTTCTGAACTAGCTGTTACAAATCAGAAGAGACTTTGGAGACCTTGACTAGTTCTCTAAAAGCATCAGCTCAGTGTGTAATGATGGACAAAAAGTTAATAAAATGTTAGGCATCATCAAGAAGGAAACTGAAAACAAAATGGAAAATATCATCATGCCACTATACAAATCCATAGTGCATCAGCATCTTGAATACTATGTGCAGTTGTGGTCTCTGCATCTTAGAAAGAATGTAGTAGCATTAGAAAAGGTACAGAGAAGGGCAACTAAGACAATCAGACGTATGGAGCAGCTGCCATACCAGGAGAAATTAAGAAGGCTACAATTCTTCAGTTTGGAAAGGAGAAGGCTAAGGATAGAAAGGTTAAGAGGTCTGTAAAATCATGAAAAGTGTGGATTAAGTGAAAGGAAATGGCTATTCACCAAGTCCCAGGATACTAGAACTATGTGGCATGACTGAAATTAGCAGGGGACAGGTTTAAAATGAAGAGAAAATTTTTTTTATGCAGTGGGTAGTTAACTTGTGGAATTCGTTACCACAGGAGGTTATAGAGGCTGATAATATAATTAGGTTTCAAATAGGATTAGACAAATTCACCGAAGTCAGGTCCACTGGTACTATTAAATAGAACAGTGTGGCGGAGCACCTTTGGGGTGCTCGCCACGTGGCAAGGGCTGCAGTAGGCTGGGGATGAGCCCAGTAGGGAAGGCAGCCAAGTGAAGCCCCTCAGCTCTCATTCTAAGGGGGGAGGTGTGTGGCGGAGCACTTTTGTGGGTGCTCGCCACTTGAGGCCTCTCACAGGCTCTGAGGGGAGCCTGCTTTGGAGGAGCAGCTGGGGAAACCTTCCCCAGGTACCATTTTAAGGGGGAAGGAGTGTGGCAGGGGACTGTTGGTACCTGCCACTTTAAGACCGGAGCCAAGCAGCCAGCAGGTGCTTGATTGCGGCAGCCATTTTAGATCTCTGGCCGCCCATACAAACAGATCAGTTTCCTGCTGGCAGGGCAGGCAGTAATATTGTTTGGTTGTAATACTCCATAACATCCTGGAGGTAAGGGAGGTGCTATAGGGGATGAATTGGAGGCTCCTGGTCCTGGGCATGACCTAAAACTGCACTCTGCTGGAAGTGGGTGGCCTGGTGGGGCTCTCAGTGGTGCGGGAGCTCCCAGGAAATGCCAGGGCAGTTATCACCCCGGTGAAAGGCGGGTAGGGGCACCTTAACCCTAGCCCTCACCTTTGGGTGTGTTTGCATACCATTGGAGGTAGTTGGGGGGGGGGCCAGGTGTGGCTGAGGCCACCTGAGCCCTGTGGAGCGCAAGACCCTGAGAGCTCCCAAGGAGGGAGAGTGGGGGGCTAGGCATGGCTGAAGCCACCTGAGCCCTGTGGGGTGCAAGACCCCAAGAGAACCCGAGGAAGGAGAGTCGGGCCAGGCACGGCTACAGCCACCTGAGCCCACCAGGGAGCGAAGCCCCGTGGCCCCAGGTGAGGAGGCAGTGTGGAGCCCCGAATGAAGGGGGCAGAGATGAGTAGCCCCGAGTAAGGGGGGCGGTGTGGAGCCCCGAGTGAGGGGATAAGAATGCCCTGGTGAGGGGTGGCCCCAGAAAGGGGCGGACATGAAGAGCCCCAGTGGGGGAGGAAGGAAAACTACAGGGTTGAGTGCCCAGTAGGCTTATGTATATAGAGTTGCCCCCAGAAGGGGCTAGAGCAAGCTTAGATCCGGTCAGGTAATTGGCTGGCCACTACCCTGGTGAGGGTCATGGGAGAGGCCCAAAAGATAGTATGTCTGCCACCTAAGGGATGGACTAGCTAAGCCTATGGCCTAAGGGGCCCGCTCCAAGATGGAGCAAGGCAGAATGAGTCGTTGATGTATGAAAGAGACCCTGTGAGAGAGGGTGGAGTGTGAGAGGCCCTAGTGAGAGGAGGGCGGTATGAATGTGTGTGACTGAGGCCTGAAGGCGCGGCCTAAGCTTGGTTTGGCTGTAAGCCGGGAGCACTGTAACAACATCTGGATGCCATCTGTGAGGCATGGGCTGCAGTGTAGGGGAGGTACAGACCTGCAGATAGCGCTCCCTGGCATCAGGGCAGAAATGGGCAGCCTCCCACTTAATGAACATCATATTAATTACCAACAGGGCGTGGCAGGTGAGTCAGGTGGGGCTCCCCAAAGTGGGGAGCCCCACTTTGCCACAGTCAGGGATGTATCTTCTGAAATCCATGAATCTGGAAATCAACCATTCTGTTGATTTCAGGGAAGCTATGACATGGTGTGGACTAGTTTAGACATGCCTTGTTCATATACTCTCCCATTACAGCATCTCCTATTTGTCATTGTCAGAGAGGACACTAGGTTAGATGGACCATTGGTCTGACTTCTTGTACTCTTACACTTGACAGAAGTTTGTCATCATTTGCCTTTATCTAGGATCAGGATGATCCACCATTTGTTTTGTCAGACCCGTCAGAATTACTGGGTGAACATCTATATGAGATGCTTACTGCAGTTGCCTAATTAGCTCCACAATAAAGTGTCACCATCTACACTTGCAGAGCTATTAGACTAGAGTAAACTAATTAACCCCGCTATAGGTTGGTATTGCCCTACACAAGTACTATTCTACAGTGGAGTTATTTACTCTGCCACAATGCATATATAATGGTGACCGGGGCTGGCTGGGGCACAAGGGTACTACAATGCAGGGGCTCCTGCCAGGTAGCACCACACTGTAGTATCCTCATGCCCTAGCCAGCCCCTCTGCAGCACACTAAGCCAGGGTGCAGCAGCTCCAGGATGGCAGGCTGCCCCCCCCCCCCCCCCCCAATGCCCACTACCAGCTGGAGCTGCATCGCCCCAGTCCAACATGCTGCAATCCCATGCACGTGTGTAAACACTACACCCGGGAGCAATAAACTCCAGCACAAACTGCAACAGAATTTATTCAGGTGCATTAACTGCATGTGTAGATGTTCCCTAGGAGGATAAAGAGGAGCTATGCTGCATGTTGGCAGGGTTCACCTCTATGGCATACCATCACCTCAGCAATACAAATTAGAGAAATACTCATTTTCCTCTCACTTTTTGTGATGTGCTTTACTAGTCAGCCCTGTCAGTTGCCCCTGAAAATGGCACAATCCAAATAGTGTTGGGGATGTTGTGACATGTATGAGACACTTACTGTATCGATCACTGTCGAGGTGGCAATAAATATAACCTTCCAGGTAAGACTGGAATTTGGGTGATGGCGAGAAAAAGGCTAGACTAATGGCCATGAGTTCCCAGCCCCATGCCAGACTTTGGTAACACGTATTGTCTGTAGTCTGCCTAATTAGCTGTATGTACAACTCATCCCGTAAGCCCTGTATGCTCCAGCACTTGGTAATTGTGACTAAAGCCACATGATTGTGGTCCATGTGTGTCTGGCGGTCTCCCATGTAGATCTGCACCAACTTAAACATCTCACATGCTTCCTTTTTGATGGTGCGGTTGCTTGTAATCAGCATTGGCTTTTTGATGGAGTCCCCACTCCAGGAAAGCATGTTGGAAATGGAGATCCTGCGGCGGAAGATGCCTTGAGTGTGCATATTGAGGTTTTTGGAAGCCCAGTCTACCATGCTACTTTGAGGGATGGGCTCTGGTAATGCACTGCAGGGAAACTGGTATCCCATACAGCTGTCAGGCTGCCCGCTGTTCTCTTGCTTGGAGTTTGATTCTATTGTTTCAGGCTGCAATGGAGAACAGACAAGTTATATTCAAAAACATCTCAGCTGACTCCCTTACCTCAGTGAAGGAGTCAGCCATCAGACCACCACCAGCTGTATAGTGACAAGAAAAGAAAAAAAGCTCTTGTGTACAGGCAATTGTTGGAATCTGCTTTCCTGCACAGAATCCAGTAGACACAGCAGCAGAGCCGGCATTCAGCTCATAAAGCAGGTTTAAGGACAAAGCTATCCTCTTTCCCTGTCCCCTTGCAGGTATAGGAGATGGTACTTATTTCCAAAGTTGGCCCAAAACTTTAGGTGCAAACCCAGGACAGCTCCCAGATCACTTCCTTTTACAGCTTCCCTTTGTTAAAACTCCAGTCCTATAGTTAGATCCTGCCCCTATTTTTCCAAATCTATTCCAAAAAAAATCATTATAAACACTTAGGGCCAAGTCCCAATTGACTCTAAGGTACCTCCATTCTGGCATTTCACCTCTTAAAATGTTGGCATTTTACCTCAGGAAAGTAATTCTGATTAACAGCATTGTAGATGCCTACGCTTCCAAACATTGACAGACTCCCAAGATTCCCTAACCACTCATCCAGTGACTAATGTTGAAGACCTAAATAGACCTGACACGAAGGAACATAACCCAGAACACCCAAACCCCAGGAGACTACCGCAACCACTATATTATGAAGTCAGGGTCCCTCTTGCTTGCTCTCTTTCTGGTCCCAGGTATCTCACACTTCTGGCTGCTCAGAGGAGTAGAGTACTTATACCCTGATAGTTGGAACACTCTTCTGAGAAACAGGTGTGGGTTTGAATCCATTCAAGATAAGGTGGACCTAGAACCAAGTTTCCCACCTCTTGCTACTAAGTGCTCTTGCTACTAAACTCTAACACCGTGACTATCATTTTCTATTGAGCTGCATGTGGCCCTGGGCCCTGCATACCTAAGAGACCACCTCTTCTCATAATGGCCCCTAACACCAGCCAAGAGCAACCTCCTGCAAGTAGCATTTGTCTGCCAAGTTCATTTGGCAAGAACATGCGAGAGGTCATTCTTGGTAGTTCCTCCTCAGCTCTGGAACTGCCTCCTCCTTGAGGCTCATCAGAGCCTGAGCCTGGATATCTTCTGGAAGCATTTTATGTTCTTATTTAAAGCAGACTTTTAGCAGGTGGGGTTAAGTTCTGTGATATTGTTTGGGGAACTATAACTATTTTATTTCAATATTTTAACCGTTTTATAATTTATCTTATTTTTATTGTAAGCTTCCCCAGACCTTTTGAAAAGCATGGCATATAAACCAAATAAATACAAAAATAAACAAATAATGTACACTCTTGGCCTCAAACAGTTGCACATCAAGGTCTGTCATCATTTAAAAAATGGGGGATGGAAGCAGAGCATGTGCACTGCCCAGGCTAAGAATCACTGGCCTAATACAGCAAGCATTTGATGAGAATATGATGTGTTAAATCTTAATTTGGCTGTGAAAGGGTTAACAAATCAGGCTGCTGCAGAGTTTGTTTTTTTTTTGGGGGGGGGGGGGGGCCCAAGAAGGGGAATCCTGCCTCTGGTCTGCTTTTGGCAGCAGCAGAAGCTCATATTCTTGCCACAGCTCTCCCCAGTCCAATACTGCATGCTCCTCCAGAAACAGAGGAACACAGGACGCTCCCACCTACTTCTGTTTCCAAAAGATCATCTGGTATCAGATCAGGAAGGGTTTTGGCACAAGTGCTCACTCTGGCTGCAGCTGCTTCCCAATCTGCCTGGGGGTGGGGCATACAGGGTATTTAAACTTGGTATTTAAACTTGGCCAGGATGGCTCCCACCCTTGGAAGGGGAACTGTGATACCCTGACTGAGAACCACTGATCTAAGCACTTTTAAGTGCCTAAATTCTGTCTAGGCAGACAAGGTTCTTTTGATAAATCTGATATCAGATTTACCTGAAGTACCTTGTCTGCCTATGTCCTTAGATTACGTCTGTGCAAAACAGCACCGTTCCGATTCAACTTCTGTTTCAACGATTCGACAGAACAGTGTTTCGTTTTGAGTTTTGTTTCATTTTGAAAACACTGTTCCGTTTCATTTCATCGAAACTACTCCGCTGTTTCAATGTTTCGCTTATAGGTTATGGGGAAACATAAAATGCAGCAGGCAGGAAGACGGGGGGCTCACCCGCACCCCCAGGATGGCTGCCGGGGCTGTGAGCCCCCAATCTGCCTGCCAGATGACAGAAGCCAGGTGCTGCCACTTGGGACCAGCACAAGGAAAATCACTGCTACCGCCAGTCCCGGGCAGCAGCACCCAGCTCCTGTCATTCGGCAGGCAGACTGGGGGCTTGCCCACACGCCCAAGAGGACTCTGGCACAGACCCTGCAGCCCTCCCGGGGGTGCCGGCAGGCCCCCGATCTGCCTGCTGGCTGACAGGAGCCGGGTGCTATCGCCTGGGGCCAGCAGAGCCAGGGCAGATAAGCTGCCCTGATCCCGGGGTGGGGGAGAGTCCTCGCATCAATTGATCTGCCATGGGCCCCGCACTCACCTGGAGCTGGCTCCAGTATGGGGCTGGGGCAGATCAGCTCGTGCGGTACCCGCCATCTCCATCGAGGTGGGGGAGGGTCTCCGCACCAGCTGATGTGCACCCACCTGGAGCTGGCTCCAGTATGGGGCTGGGGCAGATCAGCTAGTGTGGGGACCCACCGCCCCGATCCTGGGGCAGGAGAAGGCCCCCGCAGCAGCCGACATGCACCCACCTGGAGCCGTCTCTGGTACGGGGCTGGGGCAGATCAGCATGGTCCCCGCATAAACTGATCTGCCCCGGCCCCATACCGGAGCCGGTTCCAGGCAGGTGCGGGGCCCGGGGCAAATGAGCTCATGCAGGGACCTTCCCCCACTCCAGGTTTGGGGAGGCGGGTCCCCGCACCAGCAGATCTGCCCCAGCTCCAGTGGCCACAGGCAGCAGGATCTGGCTCCTGTTAGCCAGCAGGCAGATTGGGGGCCCGTCGGCATCCCCGGGAGGGCTGCGGGGTCTGTGCCAGTCCTCCTGGGGTGCATGCCCCCATCTGTCTGCTGGCTGACAGGAGCCAGCTGCTGCCACCTGGCAGCAGCACTGATCTTCCCGGTGCTGGGTGCAAGCTGCACCCAGAGCTGGTCTGTCATCTGGCAGACAGATCAGGGGCCTGCAACCTTGGGAGGATGCTAGCACAGCCCCCGCAGCCCTCCTGGGGGTGCAGGCAAGCCTCCAATCTGCCTGCTGGATGACAAGAGCCGGGTGCTGCCAGCTGGGACTAGCGCTGAAGCCAGTAAGCCTGGCTTCAAAACTTGAAACATTTTGAAACCTTCAAAACGTTTTGAGTTCCCTTGTTTTGTTTCAAAGCTGTTTCGAATACTTTTGTTTCATTTCAATTTCGCTGTTTTGAGCTTGAATCTCATCGAAACAGCTTCAAAACAATTGAAATTTTGCACAGCCCTACTTTAAACCAACACCCCTACCACCAATACCCCTAAATTCTGCCTAAATCCTATTTAAGTAATTATGGGGTTGATTAGAATTTGGCCCTTAATGTTAAAAGCAGGTCAGCTTTTGAGAGCTTTTATCCTGAGAACCCTTGTGCTACCTGATTCAAACTTCACGTGATAAATTTTACTCAGGACCCTCTACTAGCACAACAGTTTCCAGGATCATCTCTGCTGTCATTTTCTTCCCTCTGCCAGCATGGCCCTGATATTCTCACCATAGAGTCTATGCCTTATCCCACAACCTGTGCAATCATACTCCTGGACCTTTGTCTCCCATAGCTCAGCTCCCATACATCACAACATCCAGCCAGTTTCCCTAGTCATCCTGAAGCTCCATGGCCTCAAAACTAATACATGCTTGTCACCTAGCGAACATGGTTACACAGGCCACCAGGACCTTCTGCCTTTGACTGGCTTCTGTAAATCATTCCATTATCCCTAGGACAAGTTAAACAAAATTTGGACACACACACACACACACACACACACACACACACACACACACACACGAATCTGGTTCAAGATTAGCACCACATGTAGGATAATAGCAGTAGGCCTATGCGAATAGGGAAGTATTTGATTCAGATTCAGCCAATTCAGAGATTTGAATCACTGCCCTGAATTGATTCAGCTTAATCACCTTTGGCAGATTCAGTGCTGATTCAGAGAGATTCAGTGATTCAGCCATAGACTATAATGAGGAATCACTGAAAAACCTATAACTTTGTCATTTTTTGGCAGATTTGGATGAAAACACCAGGCATGGTAGCCCCTTCTGAGGCCATGAGGCCTGCCAGGTTTCAAGGAGATAGGTGCAGGGGTTTCTGGGAAACTGTATCTCAAGCATCTGAAAGCAAAACTCGTGACACGTGTGACTGGTGTGTTAAGGCACAGAGGGATGAAACCAGCAGGGATGGTAGATCTCCACCTGCCCACCTGTTTGTGAACCAGCTGCCTGCCCCTCTTTTTCCTCCCATGCCTTGATGAAAAACTGATTCAGATGTTTTCCAAGCAGGAGGCTGCCCGGAACAAAGATACAAGGGCTGGGTCCAAATCCAGTGTCAACAACATCTGCTCCACAGCTCCATACCTCCCCTTACACTGCGGCCCGTACCTTGCAGGTTGTATCCTTCACCTCCTCCAGTTGTGGTCCCTTCTCTGGGACCTTTGGCTCCCCCTTAGGCCCTGGGCCCACCTTCAGGACAGTTGGAATCCCAAGCCTCTTGCTCTGGCCATTCCTTGCGGTGAGCCCCTGGCCCGTTGACCCCACTTCAGGTCCTGGCCCTAGCACAGACCAGTCAAAAGTATCTCTGATATCTTTTATTAGACCAACTGAATAGTTGGAGAAATATATCTTAGCAAGCTTTCAGGTTTAAAAACCTTTTGTCAGGCTGAGGAAGCATCTAATTGGAGGGTGTGTGCGCTCTTCCTGGATGGAATGAATAGTAAAGAAGCCAGAGGCTGGCATGCAATGCAGGCAAGAAAGCCAGTCA